AGAGATGCAAGTATCGATGTAATGTCTTTTTTTAAAAAGGATAGTATGTGTGTACACACACACACACACACACACACACACACACAAAACAAATTCTAGTAAACAGTGAAATATCAATTTCTTGCTACAATTTAATGCAATCAATTGAAATTGCATCATGTTATACAACATTCTATTTCTGTCACATAAGTCATATATTTTATAAAAACTATTTTGTAACAATATGTAGAACTTTATCTCATACATATCGTATTACGTAATTTTTATCTTAAAATAAATTGAAATTATTGTTTTTACGATAAAAAATTTATACACAAGACGAAATGGACGTAAGAGAGAATTTTTCAGTACTTTTGGATTTATTTATTATAATAATTGTATTATTGAGCATCTTTAATAATGCAGTTAGAGGCTGTGCTGATTGATTTGAGGGATAAAATTCCTTGCTTGCAACACATTCTTCGTCCGGAATATGCTCCATACTTAACCACAGTTGCAACAGCGTTAATAGGATGGCTGTTTATATCCTGGATACTTCGTGTATGTATTTAAAACTTATTTGACTAATTTATAATTAACTAATAAAGATTAATTAATTTTTATAGGTGTTTTCAGTAATGTGGATGTTGTTTATTCCTTTAATAATGAGCACCATCGCTTCAATATTAATATATCCAACAATAGGCAAATGGTGTTTTCAGCAATTGGAAATAAATTTAGAAAAAATAATAAATAATTTCGTCCATTGATTTCAAGCATTTCGATAATGACGTTAATAAAAAAATTCTATAAATTAATTTCGATTATAAAAAATAAATATTTATATTTACATTTGTATTATGTACTAAAATTTATTGTATAAATTTTAATAAATAAACAAATATTAATTTTAAATATTATATAAATATTTTTTAAGAACTATAATAATGATAAATTTGTCATAAAAAATTTTTTTTTATGTATAATACGCTGAAATTTTTAATTGTCGCAACATTTTATAAGATAAATTTTTTAATGCCGTGAATTTATTCATGAATACTAATTAAAACGTTTCGAAAAATTATATTTAATCTCGATCTCAATAACTCTAAAATTTTGAAACATAGGATCAAAAAACAAATCGCATGTGTAAATATGTCTCATGGTGAAAAGGAACTATCCGAGAAGATAAATATATAATACAACAGGAAGATTGTAGAAATGGGAATGCAGAACTCAAAAGGGTGAGTGTTCGAAATTATACACAATTTGTGATTTTGCAATTTATAATATTTTATTATTATTTAAAAAGAGATATCTGTTTAAATTAATAATATTCTTAATATTGTAAAAAAAGATGTATAAAAATTAAAAAATTAGATAATTAAGTGCAATATTTCAATGACGTTAAATAAATAATAAAATAATATTCCATTTCGAGGTTAAACCTGCTAGTAATTAAATTAATTAATAAATTATTTAAAGATATTTGGAGGAGCATATTCTATTTCTTTTATTACTTCTTACTTTCAATTACGTTGTTCAGAATTACTCCTTAATGGTGTTTTCCTGCCCGTTTTGTATAGTTTCTTGCTGCTCGTATTGTAACTGAATGGGTTCAGTTTCTCGCTTTTGATTAATAGAGTTTTCGATTATTTCGTTCGAAAACATTTCTTTTGCTTCATTCTGTTCAGTTTCCAAATCCTTGTGTTGAGATTCACGATAATATAATCCTCCTGCGTTTACGACGACTGATGGTACGTTACTAGTTTGATAGCCATAATTTCCTTTGGGATAAGAATCGTAATAAGAAGTATCGTAAGGATAAGGACTGGTACTGTAGCTTCCATAGTTATAATAGTTCGGAGTATAATGTTGAGGATAAGTATTAGCTGCCTGTATGAGAGGGAATTGCACAGATAAGTGCAAAGGTGTCTTCTCATGGTGATGAAATCTCCCTTCCTATAAAAAATAATTTAACATTTATTATCGCTGAAATTAGATTGTAATTATAATATATTTAATATTTCTCTTTTATAGAATTGATTCTATTTTTTTTTCAAGGTCAAAACTTATATCTTTTCACTCAATTTAAATTTGTACTTGGAATCAATATTTCTCTTTGACGCAATAATTTTTAATTTTTAATTTTCAGCATTATATTTCAAGTAATTGAATCTTAGTAACTTTTTGTCTTGCACACATCAAAAGATTCCAAATCGCAACGCAATACTTTAAATAATATTATATCTAAATTATTATATTGTATTACAAATAAATATTATATATAATAGATCTAGATATTAATCTGAGGATCAGAGGGAGAATAGTCAAGAAGGTTTTATGAATATTTTTATTTTTTTGTAACAAATTATACAATAAGAATGTTTTCATTAAAGGTACACATGTTGATATATGTATGTGTGTGTGTGTGTGTGCTCAGTACAAAGTTTTAAATATTTTAGACGTTTCTTTTTAAGCTTGCTTCCAATCTCCCTTCCAATTTCCTTAATGAAGTCATCGAGGATATAAAAGATTAAACCTGTGCGTGAAACGAAATATTATGTAACTTTCTCTAATCCAAATCGTCTAATCTAAACTGTTGAGTTTTTTTATAGACAAAATCTTACAAAATCTCATCTTAAAAATATTTTTAGAGAAGCAATACAATCGCGCAAGTAGGAATCTTTTGATATCGTTTTTCAGAAATCATAACATTGGGGCACCACGCTCGTTTATTATCACAAGATCAATGTGATATTGTGTGATACCACTATTTAATTTCATACCAGTTTGATACTCACCATTTCACTAGCTCTTTCCGAAGCAAAAACGATGGGTGAGATGTTGGAATTGTATTCTGCGGTAATCATCGAAGATCTGGGCACAGATTTGTATAAGTGCAATAAGCGAGGATCCAAAGTGATAGTCTTTGCAAGACGGTTATCTGGTCGGCAACTGCATTCGTATGCCTCTTCTTGAGTTTTTATTGATGGATACTGCACTGACGGTACCTGGATCAAAGAGTAACGACATATTGTTTTATTCGACATATTATTTATAAGAAAGATTGTGTAATGTATGACATAATATTAAAAAGTAAATTTGCAGAACTTTCATAAAGTCAAAAATATAAGAAATTAATGTAAATTTGAAGCTTCAATAATTCGTGGCTCTAAGAGATTAAAAATTGTCTTTAGAAAATTTTAAATGGTACTTGTTACTTACCTGGATAAAGGTAGGTTGAGGAACAATCACAGGACGGGAGGGTGCAACTAAAACATCTGTTTTGCATGGAGCAGGCGCAACTGGCATGACACTGATCTGCTCTTGTGTAATCGGAAGAGACTGAATGATAAAAGACATATCGATAACATATATGAATTCACATATTTTTTTGTTTAAACATATTTTAATTGTACAATATTGTAGCCATTTTCATTGACTTGATATTAGTTAGAAACCATTTCGTTAGAAAACAGTGTTTTAATTTATATAACAATTTTTAATTAATCTTTTTAAAATTGAATACTTAAAAAGTTACAGAAAATAATGCTGTTTCGAATAAATTTTAAGAGAAAATTAAGATTCAAACTTATTATCAAGCTGTTAATTTTTAGAATTTTTAGAATTTTTAGAATTTATTTTATGTATCGATATTCAAACTGATTGTCCTCCTACCTCTGGTTTAGGCCTAATTACCGGTTTTTCTTCCTTCTTGTTTGATTTAAGTTCCTGGACCAGTGTCACGGATGGTGTTTGCGGTGTCGGTTGCGGATGAAGAACATGGACAGTGTGAATTTGTTGCGGCTGTTGAGGCTGCATCACGGTCGGTTTGTCGCAAGGCGCGGGAGCAGGAGCCGGTACGATGTTGATGATCGGAGTTGGTGCTGGAGCAGGCGCGGGAGCTGGAGCAACTGATGATGGTGCGCTGGGATAGACGTGATGTATGTGTGTCTGTTGCGGATGAGTGTAAACCACATTGGGTTGTTGCGGGCTTGGCTGGACGATCTGAGGCTGAGCTTGAGGCTGAGGATAAGTGACGCTCGATGATTGCTGTTGCTGGATTACATTGAAATTCTGAGAAGGTTGCGGCTGCGGCTGCGGCTGCGGCTGCGGCTGCAGCTGTGGCTGCAGCTGTGGCTGCGGCTGGATTACAATGTTCTGCGGTTTAGGATATTCGACTGGTGCTACTGGAGTCGGTACCGCCACAGGTTGTAGAATAACCACAGGTTTGGACTCCTGCTGATGAATCTGAGGAATCTGTGGCCTCACTTCTTGTCTGCACGGGACTTGTTCTTGCTTTCCATTGGCGCGAACTTCCACGCAGAAGGTCGTAGATTTCTTGGCCCTATCTTTTTCCGCACCAGTCTCCTCCAGGTTTATTTCGTTCTTGGTGAACTTGTCCGTCTCGCTGATTGACTTCTCGATTTTGGCCGAGGGTGCAGCCTGACAGGCGACTATCGCCAGCAGGAACAACGCGCAGCAACTCTTCAGATACATCGTTCAGATAGATCGAAGTCACTGTCGAAGTCGAACTGATGAAGCAGAGTTAACGCGCCTGTTTTTTAAGGGATTCCGCGACCAGCCACGTAACCGGAGTCGACCGCGAAACCATTCGCATTGCTTGCGAAATTATACGAACGATTCGATGCATCGGCAAATTTCGATGCGTGATTAAACAATATACGCGTCCTCGTTATTGTACGACCGTGGAATCATAATAATAGTTGTTCGACTATAACCAAAAGAAATTAGTTAGAAATTAATCACAATACTTTTATATTTTATATGGAATTATATAAAATTCTATGTTGTCGTATAATCATATCGATCCAATAGCGAGGATTAAGCTTAAATATTATTTTAAAAAGTCTTTGAAATTAAGTCAAAGAACATTACATTCTTTTTATATATATTTAGTACATATTTCATATTTAAATAATTAATTAAATTGAATAATTAATTTAAAATTTAAGATTAATTTATATAATTATTTTATACGTTTAATTCATATTTAATTTTTTCTTTGATCGGATTAAAATTTTGTAGAGTATAATTTATAAAATTGTTATAACATAAAACTTATATTGAATAAAATTTAATATTATTAAAAATTAGATTAAAAGAACTTAAAAGAATTTTACACACTTAATTTACATATTTGATAGCGAATTTATATTGGATTATTTTAAATGCAAAGATTCAAACGCGAAAATGCATTGTTAATGTATAATTTATTCAATAATTTTGCTGCATATTATTAAACATTTACAAATTTGACTTAATTGCACTTTTATTATATCGCAATGTACATATATGTTGTAACTCACATTTCTTTACGCGCTTTTTTCGCTTATGCGTCAAATTCCGTAAACTCGACAGAATCCAATTTCACAATCATGATAAGACACAGCACTTCTTATTGCATGAAGAAAAAATTATAAATTACTATAAAATTTTATTTATCTGTATAAATATTTTAAAACATATTTTTTATTCTATTTATTTATTTTTCTTTGTTACATGTTGACAACAAAAACAAAAAATTCATATCTGGAAAGAACAGACATGTACTATATGACATGTACTATATAAAATTGCAATTCATTAAAAACTTTGAGAAAAAAAATTTTTTTTATATATTATATTAATATTTATATTTTTATATATAAAATATCTTTATTTAATACGATTAATTAATCGTTTATTATAATTATTTTGATAAATGTTAATTTTTACTATTTTTACAGATAAGTATTTAATGCACAATAATAATTTATGAGATAAATACATATACATGGAATAAAACTACATAAATAATCATTTTTAGAATCTGTTTATTTTGAAATGTGATAATGCTGTTGGACATTATCTTAAAAATCTGTATGACAGAAAATTTATCTAAAACTTTTTCTTTAATTAGAATATATATAATACACTTTCAGTGTTCAATATATCTCTTATGTATATTCTTTATTGTATTAAATATATTTTAACATTATTAATTAATCAAAAAGTTAACACTAACACATATTAATAAATAACAAATTTTTATTTACTCTTGAGATACAATAGCATTTTTTATATTCGGCGTAATTAAATATTTTTTTAACAAATATTCATAATAATAATAGAGTAATAGAAGTTATATAAAGATATCTCAGATTTAATATAATCTTTCATTTCTATCTTTCATTTTTATAAAATCTTCTATTAATTTAAAATTAATTTTTTTTTAAACGTCAAATTTTATCGTAAATTCATCACTTTTTAAGATTAAGATTAAGATTAAGATTTCTGTTAGCTCATTATAGTCATTTGGACTATAATGTATATGTTAGAAGCGAAAAAACTCATAATACAAATTTTTTCAAAATACATAAAAATGAAAATGTCTCTTAATAAAACATTTATAATTAACAAAATAGATTTGTAAAATGTACCGAAAATTTCCTCCTTTTAAACAATAAACAATAAGTCAACAAACAATAATAAATAATTATATAAAATAATATCTAAAACTAATTGAATCCATTCAGAAATGAAAACATTTCAATTCTAGATCATTCAATAATTATCGAAACAGAAATAAAATTTTCAGTATATTTTATAAATTTGTTCTGTTAACTGCAAATGTTGTTTTATTATTAAATATTTTCATTTTAATATATATTGCAAGAATTTGTATTATGCATTTTCTTGCTCACAATTCGAGATAGCTGTGGTAAACCAGCAGAAGCCTTTATTGCTTTGTAATTTTATTATCTTATTATATCTTTAACTGTATATTTTTCAAAGTGTCTCGCTGCTTTCAATCACTTTAATTAATTCAAAAATTATTTATCAATATTTTTGTTATAAGGAAAAGTCGATTCTAAAAAAAAATTCTTAAGTGAAAGATAACTCAACTAGAATATTTATATATAATACAAACAATTTTCTCTATTATTATCACTAAAAAAGTCTTAACAAAGAATTACGTTAATGACGATTTGGTTGTTTCTACTGGAGGATCTTCGATGTCATCGAGTAGATCAGGATCAAGTTCTGTCAAAGCCTCATTCTTGTTTCTTACGTAATTTTGCATATTAGTAATAGGCTTACTATATTCGTCCACATTGAAAATGTCTTTAGAAAGTGTCAAATCCGGAATGCGTATATTGTCTTGCACAATATCCTCATCCTCAAAGAATTCCTGATCCATTTCTTTTACAGAATTCGTGTATAGATCGTTTCTAGCTTCTGATAATTTTTTATTTTTCTCATACATGACAAGCTGCTTCTTATCATTTAAAATATTTAAATATCGAGGAAGTATATAAGCATTATAGGCATTAATCACAGGGGCACGAGCAGATTCGACATTAGTGAATGTTTTGTCTGAAATGATCACGTCTTCATCTTGAAAGTATTCGTTATCATCTTCTTCTGAATGTAATCTCAATTCCTTCGTCTCTTGAAACTTTTGGGGATGTTCACGCATGACATTCAAACTATCGAGGAGCTCTTCGTCTTGTATTCCCCTCAAAATATTCTGAGGAAAAACGCGAGGATAACTATCCTGTTCAGTCTTGATATCCTTTTCCGTCTTGTCTTCAAGATATTCTTCCTCGTCCATGAGATAATCATTATCTTCCTCATTTTCAAAGGGTTCAATATTTGATTTCATCAAAGATTTAAACAATTCGTCTCTTCTATCCCACATATTCAAATTCCGAGGAAATTCAGAATTAAAATCAATTTGTTTATTAATTTCCTCGGGAATAACTTCTTGTTTTTCCGCAGAATGCAAGATATTATTTCTTAACTGTCCCAGATTCGAGGATGGCGATGAATCATTGGCAATGTCCCAATTGTCGAAGAATTCGTGATTTTTCATCGATGTTGAAACATCTGTATCTTTAACGTAAGGATCACGCTTAATTTCTGACGGACCGAATCTTATGTGATTATATTCTCTTACTCGAGGATGCGTGAGATCATATTGCTGATTGACAGGATTTGAAGATTTGATTGTATTTCTTTCTTCATCGAGAATATCTTCCCTGCGAGATCGATAATTACTTTCAAATTTAGGGAAGAATCTCTCTAGTTGAACATTTGAAGAAAAAGAAGAGTCCCTTGAATTTTCCCGCGAAGATTCTATATTTCTGTCGGCACGATAAATGACAGGTATTTTGCTCATAGAATTTTCTTCGTCCTTTTTGTAATCCTTTATCACGTTGTAATCTTCCAATGAAGATTCTGAATATTTATTGCGAGGATCTCTAAGGAAGAAATTTTCCGATCTACCGAAAACTTGCCTCGATGGAACGACACGAGGATATTCTTTCGCAGGTTTGTCCTGAGAAAAGATTTCTCGTCTGTCTAAAGACCTCGGATAGTTATTCAGAAAATTTCTGTAAAATAAATTTCTGTTCACAGATTCTTCTTGAGGGATTCTTCTAAAGGACATTAAATTTTGACTTGATGAAATGTCGTTATCGAATATGATATCTTGAGAAATTCCTCCTCGTAAACGAGAATAAGGGGAATTTCGGAGCGAATTGATGGAAACATCTTGTAGGATTCCTGGCTGTAGATTTGATTTTTGATAAGGAGTCCTGAAACATTTTTGTAAATACTTATTAGATTCAAAATAACAGATTTATTAAATTAAACAAAAAATAATTTTCTGTTTTTTTATTTTTTTATATTTTAAATCTCTGAATTCTAATATTCTGAATTTCTGAATTTCTAAATCTTTTACATCAAAAACATATATCAATTAATTTCTAAATTTCATCATGCTTTATCTCGACACTGAGAATTTAAATTTTTATATTTTTTAGTTTTCAACTTTTATATGTTTTTTATTTGAGCTGAATTATGTTCTTACCATGGTAGTTGAACGGTCAAGGCTTCTGGACAGTCTTGACTACACGAGGGACAGGATGCTCCTCTAGGAATCCTTCGTGACGATCCGCAAGTTAGGATCGCACTCACGAATAAACAAAATAATAAATAACGATGAGAAATTTGTCTCGGCATACTTGAAAGACTTGAGTAAAGAAATCCTGACGATTCTTTATAAACTCGTATATGACGGATGCAGCAAGGACATGCAATTGTGAGAACAAAAATGTTTTCCGGGTTGCATCAATTACTTCCTGTATACATTCATTAATTCTTAAGCGAATCATTTGTTTATTTAGTTTTTTTTAACAGTTACTTCCATATTCTTTCAATCTTTAGGCAGGGTGACGACATAATATCGCAGAAGTCTTTGGATGTGGTGAAGACACTTATACATTTTCTCAAAGAACGTAAGTTTATGTTATATATTACAAAGAATGTATTTTAATAATATGATACGTGATAATATTATACGTGTATAATTTTAAAATTATCTTTATTCACCAAAGATGCTAGAGTAGAAGGATTATTTCGACGAGCAGGGCGTCGCGAACTCCGACGACATATTCTAAATTCGCTGAAGAAAGGTCATAAACCACATTTTGAAGATTCGAATAATGCGGCTCTGGAATGTGCGGCGGCTCTACAAATTTTTCTCAGCCGCTTAAAAAAGCCGATTATGCCGCAACACGTACAAGAATTGATCCTTGGTAAATAAATGATAAATAAAAGTTATAAATGCAATTAAATTAAAGTATAAGCGTACGACAATGAGACAGCATTTCTTATAATTGTAATTTATTTATCGTTTAAAATGCGAAAACGCAATGATCATCAACAAACGTTTACAAATTCGTTGTCAGCAAAATATCAGGACTTGTAAATTACAGTATTGTAACGTCAAGTCTAAAATTAAAATTTTATGATGAATGATAAATTTGTGACAGTCTTTCTGTCTAATTTTTAATAATAGATTATAATTATTTTAATAATAGTTTTTTATAATAATTATTTTAATATTATTCAATTTTTAATATTAGATTGAAAACTTTCTATAAATGATATAAGCATTTTAAATAAATATCCTATAAAATAAATATCTTATGTATGAATAGCTGACAATCCAGGTGTTGAAGCACAAGTTATCGCGCAAGATGCTTTAGGACTTATTAGACAGGATGTTGGTGGTCGTCACGGCGAGCTCTTGATTCATGTCTTAGATCTCTTAAGGCACTTGACTCTATCAGGACCCCCATCTGAGTGTTCCGAATTACGTGGATCTCCTTTGCCTGTCGCACTTTTGCCAGTGTTTTTTAATTTATCTGTAAACATTTTTTTAAATCAATCTATTTTACATGAAAACTTTTAACATTGAAATCTATATAATCCAATTATATCTTAACATTGAGAATTTTATATATATTCTCTCTTAAATCTCTTTCTTTTCATTTTGTATGAAAGAAATACACATTTAATTTCACACAGTGATCCTTAAAAATATTTTTCAGGTAATTTATTTTAATCTTACTTTATAGCCCGGTGATTTGACGAGATGGAAGCAGGTGGCAACTAGATTCAATGAATTAATTACGGAAGCCGCTGCACAACTTCATCGAGACGAACGACGTGGCATTCATACAGAAGCTGTATTAAATTCCACGGCGAGTTACACTGATGTAAGAAACCTTTAAGAAAAGCAATTAAAAACTTCTTGGCTTAACTTTGAATTAACTTAGTTATTCTAACTAAAATAATTTTCAATAAATTAGAATAATTATCATCATCTATTATTCTACTTTTAGACAGCTTCAGCTTCGCTAGAAGAGTCTGAAGACTTAACGAGATGGCAGGGATTCTCATTATTATATCCTATTGTCCGACTTAGAGATCATTGTAATGCTTGTAAGATATTGATGTCAAATCTCTTATATCTCTTTTATATTAATCTCTTAGTATACAGAATATCCATTATTATCGCACATAATTATTTTAATCTATTTCTTATTAAAAAAAAACTTTGATAGACGTATTAATAATTATCCATTATTATCGCACATAATTATTATTTTAATCTATTTCTTATTAAAAAAAAAACTTTGATAGAGGTATTAATAATTTAGTGTTGATTAATGATTCACTGTGTAAAATTTTGCTGACAGGTCACGTTGGTGAGATGGCACGTATTCTTATTACACCATTACAACGTCCAATCGTCGGTCGGTTACATCCGGCAATTGTTAATCCTAATTAAAAATTTAATAATCGAATAAATGTGCTATTTTTTAATGGAAATTATTGTATTTATATCATTGAAATTTGTCTATGTTGTCTAAATTGATTGAACAATTCAATTATAATTCACAATTAAAATATTGTCTACATGCTATTGATGAACAATAATAATTTTTGATCTAAAGCTAGTAAATTATATCTGTAATGGAGAAAGATATGTTCATTTAAACAATTAGGAATTATTTTCAAATACATATATTTTCATAAATATCTTTCGGTGCTTCTATACATCAAACTGCAAATAAAAATTTGATATACATTATAAATAAATTATATTATAAAATTTTATACGATAAAAACAATTTATTGCTAATTACGCGAGCAAAACGTAGATAAAATTTCTTTGCATGTACAAGATGTGATCAAAGTGTGCAATTAAACCTTGTGACTTAAATTTCAAAATTTAACAGTATGCCATTTTTTATGAAATGGTTTAGACCAACTTCCTTTAGGCACTCCTAAAATGTAACTGTGTAATTCAATCGCACACGATATTTTCAGGTGCATTCTTCTATGATACTATGATGATTGAAAATACATAAAAAGTAAAGATTATTTCATAACAAGCACGTGTATGGAACTACGCTTACATATAGGAAATTCTAAAGAATACAACGAAATATTAGAGACATATTCCTTTAAAAATAATATTGTCTCCTCTTATTTGAAATTAAAATCATTATTGTTGATAATAATCCTTTTAATCCTTACTCTGGATTCTTTTTTTAAAGAGAAAAAATATTGACTATTTAAAATTGAATTAAAAGAAACAAATTTTTATGAATTTTTTACTTAATTTTTAAAAATAATTTTTATATTTCAAAGAAAGCACAAATTTTTATTTTATAAATAAAATATAAAATTCGCCGATTAAACTTAAAAGAATTCGTTTTACAGAATATTTGTCACGATTACGCATGACTGTTCTCTAGGACAGGTAAACAATAGGTGTGGGCAATAGAAAATGCTACTCATTTCTTTCGCGTAGTATTAACCGAAGCAAGTTGCCGCAGTGCTCAGAATCAATTATCGCGCTAATTGTGGCTACGACCAAGAGAACCACGATCGTTGCGTGGGTGATTTCGGTGTAGTTGGCACAGATGAGGACGGTGTTCCAGTGTTTTTTTGCTCATTGAGTTGATTTTTTAGCCTAACTTTCTCATTCGTTTCAGCTTGCATTTTTTGCTCGTACTGCCGTACATCTTCCAAAGTCATGTCATACCATTCGTCGATCCAAGCAAAAGCTTGTCTATGACCCAGCAATAGAATGTCCCTTATACACTAAAATCATAAAGAATAAAATAATCAACACTCAAATAAATGTATTTTTATTAGAGAAGTTTCTAATATTATTTTTTTAAATATAATTTGCATACAATTTGTATGGCAAGAAATCAAACTTATATTATTTTGTATCACGTATTTTTAAATAATCATGATGCTACTTATATAACTGTGGAAAAGAATATCACTGAAATATAAAGCAAAAGAATGATAATTAGACAAACTTACTCTGTGTATAAAATCCTCGACTCGTGTTTGCATACCCCAGACTTCAAACGAGGCATGAACTAATTTGTACGAGCACATTATGGGTTGTGTTGTGTCCCTCCAATCTTCAACCAGGGGACCCCGGCCCGTTCTTTTAGATTGGAAGTACTTTGGATCCTGTTATGATTAAGATATCCCAATTAAGACAAAATCTAATATTAAAAATTAAATATGCATAAATTTTCTAAGCTTACCTCTTCCTCTTTGTAATGTTTCGCGGAGATCTCGTCGTATGCAATATCCACAAAATCGACTTCTCGATGAATCAATTCAATGGGCGACAATCCTAAGCACTGCAAATTAATAGTATATAATAGTATAAAATAGAATAATTATTAATTATTATTTCATTATATTATTCATTACTACAAAAAAGCAACAACAAAACATACAAAGTAAATATGATATAAATAAATAACAATAAATTATTTACATTTTCTGTGGAGCCGTTGTTATCCTCGTATCGTGTATTTATCGCTATATGAAACTTTGGTATAAAGGAACACTGGAAAAAAGAAATTTAAGAAAAACAAGAAATTTTATAGCAATATTTTATAATAATATTTATGCTGAATGCTACTTACAGTATACTCTGCAGTCAACAGGAACAAATAAACATGTAAGAAAATAAAAATGTTAACAAAATAATTTAACTTTTCTTCTTTTAAATTGAAAAAATATAGAATTTAATCATCCTTATCAGTGCTAAAAGAATCCAATTTCTAAAAGCATTGATTGACTATGAAATTCAATGAAAGATTAATTGTGATAAATTATATAAATAAAATAGAATATACCTGTAATAGTAAAGGGATAATAGTTCCATGCTTTCTCTGTTACATAAAATATCCGTGGTAGAATAGATTGTATCCAATATGGGAGTTTGCTGCAAAAAAACAGAACATTGTTTTTAAAAAATGTATTATAAAAATGTATTATAAAATCACTATAAGCTTGTTCTTTATCACTGCACTAGAAATGCACTAAAATTTACTTTCTCATTTTCATTAAATTTCAAATACAAAATATATTTTATTTTAAGAATAAGTGTATCCTAGTTCTATCAAAAAATAAACTTTACAATATCTAATCAGCTACTTATATCTTATGTATTAAGCTAATGGTAAGCAAATTGATCAATTAAATTAAGAGTTATCAAAAATATAAGATTGTCATTTTAAAATTTTGACTATAATTAATCAATTTAATTACCATTTAAGTTTTTCTATATGCCTTAGGGCTTAGACACAATAAAAGAAATAAGAAACAAGAAATTAAAAGTAAAGAATTAAAAATGGAAACTTAAATTTTGACATATAGAAATCTCTAAATGCTCTAATAAGAAGATATAAAAAAAATACTATATACTAATAAAAAATATCAAGGAGTTTTTTATTGATCAAAAAAATAATTTTCTGTTTTAATTCTTTATAATCAATTCCTTATTCCTGTTCACTGTGTCTATTACATTCTGAATTATACAGTCTTTATATATTCAAAGATAAAATTTACCTTGACAGATGGATCCTTTTTTCAGTGTACTGTCCCTTTCCGTGAACAGGATCTTCACAAGCATTATTTTCTACTACTTCCACCCCTTCATCATTGTCAGATTGCTCATGACTATGTCTGGCGATCATGTATAGCTGGCCGATGCGGTACTATACAAAAAAATTGATTGATCATTTATAAAGAAATCATTTATAAAGATCGCCTCTCAAAAAAAAAAGAATAAAAAAAGAATAAAAGAAATTAACAAATAGACAACGATATAATGACAATCTTCTGGGAAATAGACAAACACTTTCCTTCGTCAAATAAATAATTAAGTAATCAAGTATGACGTGCGAAGGTTACCTCTTCCGTAGTAAGCGGCATGCAAATGCGATACTCTTTCGTGAGAACCATTCTTGATCGCGCAATGATTAACCGACTCCGTTTACACTCGGGTGTGTCCCCACTGGATATCCACGCGAAGCAGGATTTGTCTTCACAAATCGCACTTCTCCGCGTTTCGCGTAAACACAATGCCGAAGGTTCGCTTTGCCGATAAACAACTCCGCGGCGACGACGACGGGGTGAAGTTGGTTGCGCTTCGCACGGTGATCGATGCTCAGACCGGCAACTCACGGGCGAATTCCCCCTAGACGGGCGCGCGCTCCCACGTAACAGTTCACGTGTTACGTGTACAAAAATCGTGCAGGCAGCAACAAATTCGCGTCGTGAGTCGTGAGCAGTTGTGAGGCACAATGTGCAGGTAACATTGCCGCGCGCTGGTGCGACATGCGATGGTGAAGCGGGCAGGACTGGGAAGCGGCGTGTGTGCAGCTGCGAGGTCTCGGTGCGAAGGAAGAAACACGGGCAGGAGATCGCCGACAATCGATGCCAATGGCCTACGAAGCGTTATGGCACGAATACATGCAGATGCCCGTGGTGACACGGGCCTACACCACAGCTTGTGTCATCACGACCCTCGCCGTGGTATCTATCTTTCTTTCTTGTCTACACGTTGACGTGTAATAATTCCGCAACGTTCCCGCGGCCGTCGTCGTCATCACCGTCGATAACGGCGATGATGACGACGACGACGACGACGATGACGACCTCCGGATAGACGAATCTCGTTGAGAATCTTGCGTTTCTCGATCTCCGAATCTTAATATTCACTAATTCTCGTTCGAATTTGCTAAATTTTACAAGTTCGAAATCGCCGAGTTTCACGCTTGTACACTCATAATGACTCAGCTGATATCATCCTTGCCTCATATCTAATGATTAAAAGTGACATCTAAGAATCACGCAGATAAAAGTATTTTTTGTGATTTTTTTGTGTGTCCGAGAGTGATGGATCTTTTAATTGATGAATAATTGCATATATGAAGTGGAATTACTAAGTATTTTAGAATTATTTAGTACTCAAGTTACTACTCATCAATAATATAACTGGTTTTATAAATGTTTCAGCAATTAGACTTGGTATCTCCATTCCAACTCTATTTCAATCCTATCCTTATTGTGGAGCAGTATCAGGTACGGAAACAGATATGCAAATATATACAAAATACTTGAGTTTATTATATAAGACAGTCAAAGTTGTTATTGTTAGAAATAAGTTTATATATATAGATTTATCTATCTATCTTGTAGAAAACAATTGATTTTGATTTGTTTCAGATATGGCGATTAATAACAACATTTCTGTTCTTCGGAAATGTTGGGTTCAACCTATTATTCAATATGATCTTTACATATCGATATTGCCGTATGCTGGAAGAAGGGTCCTTTCGCAGAAGAACAGCTGATTTCGTGATGATGTTCATTTTTGGTGGAATATGCATGATTGTATCCTTGGCAAAATATCAAATATAATTTTAGTAATTATAACTATTAACAGCATCATTTTGTTAATAATTAATATTTTATTGATAAAGTTATATTTCTATCTTAATAATGATTATAATTAAAAAATAAAATAACATAAAATAAAAAATAGCATTGACATTGCATTTGAAGAGAATATCTATTGCTGTGTTTATGAAAAATTTTAATGTCCTTAATTATCTACAGACTTTTGCATTTTTCGTCAATTTGCTATTCTTGGGACATGCATTCACGATAATGTTGGTGTATGTATGGTCACGACGAAATCCTTTTGTCAGAATGAACTTCTTCGGACTGTTGAACTTCCAAGTAAGTTCATATTTAAGATAATTCTGACGTTTCTTTATTATTATTATTGCAGTTTATGCAGTTTAGAGTCAGTTAATGCATCATTATTCTGGATTATATTCAACAAATGATTTATTCTGTTATGATTATTGATTTCTTTAATTGATTTGCAGGCTCCATATCTACCGTGGGTGCTGTTAGGCTTTTCTGTATTGCTTGGTAATACGATATGGGTCGATCTTGTAGGAATGGCAGTAGGACATACTTATTATTTCGCGGAGGATGTATTCCCTCGATTAAGAGGCGGTTTCCGAATTTTGAAAACTCCGCAAATACTGTAAGTAACGTAACACTTATCTTTTTATTTAAAATAAAACTAATTGTTAAGACAAAACAAATTACAATTTATTTAATTAAAATGTCAACCTAAAGTTTTGTCAAGGAATGAAGTCGGATAGCAATAAACAAATGAAGATGAAGAAGATGAAGATAATATATATATATATTTTTTTTTCTTAGTAAGACTTTGTTTGACGCACATCCCGAGGATCCAGATTATATGCCACCGCCGGAAGACCGGCCAGGCGGTTTCAATTGGGGACAGGAAGCCAATGTGCAATGATCGAAAAAAATTCAGCATTCTCTTTCTAGTGCTGGTTTTTATGTCAAATTGCTCGAGGACATTGCAAAAGCGTCATTGTTCCTTTGGAATTACCAACAATTTAGTGCCCGAATTTGTACGCGATGTATATAATGAGATACACGTAAAGAATAATACAGGGTGTATAAGATCGGGCGATTTCATTTTATTAAAGATCTTCCAAAAAAGTCTAAAGTTGATAATTTTTTACCAAAAATTCGATAGGAGTTAATTAAAGATTTCATCACAAAATTGCGATTAGTATACGGCAGTCTTTAATAATCGAATTAAGAAAAAGTTTATTTCAAATTGCTTAAAAGAAATTACACGCGAGAGAAAGCGCGCGTATTTATACACTCTGCATATAAACGAAAATACTAGAGATACGCACTTAAGCCTATCATTGATTTTCTTAAATTCCACATTCTTAAATGCACATTTCTACATATTTCTCGATATTCATTTTTACATATGGAATCCAGTTTCCAGTTGATGATATTAATTCTTTCAAAACCAAGCGTTATGCTTTTAGCACTCTATTGCAGAAATACAATGGATTAAATTTATTCAAGGTACATACAAGGCGTTGCAAATGTGTTTCAATCGTAAATTCTTCAAATCTAAAGTGAGTTAAATTGTTAAAAAAAAAAAATCAGTATCAATAATTTTAATTATTAGATAATGAATCCAAACTGTTTATATACGACCCTAAAGAATAGTGTATAATAGTTTATTTCATCCCAAACATATTGTAGCGATTTTAGTGATAACAAGTATTAAAATTTCCATAGATTTATATTGAATTCAGAATTCTCCAATTCGATAGACATAGCATATGCATGCGAGTGCGACTAAAATTGGCATTCCGAGGGTTAAGACCCGTTTATCACGAATGTGAACTTCCAATCCTGCATTGGAAGTTGTATAATTTTTCACTCGCGAGCTAATTAGATTTACTATTATTGAAAGCGTCACTTTTGTAAGATATCTGCGATCGGTGGTAATTTTGTGATACACTTAACCGTGCTCATAGTTCTTGCAAGTATCGATGGGAGAAAGAAAAAAATGCCATTGTGCAAGGAAGACTATTTTAAAGTGTACTAAAGCATTTATTTATATTTATTATCGTAGCAAAGTGTAATCTAGGCAACATCTACAAAGTACAAATCGTTAAATATAAACTAAAGAATTAATATATATATATATATATATATATATATATATATATATATATATATATACATACACACTTCCCACACACTTTATTCATACGTGTATATTATGTACTATATGTATGAATACAACGGAGACTTGAATCGATTATAATTAATAACCATCGCTTCTTTTTACTTTTTATCTTTTCATTACGAAGACGATGGAATAGTACGATTTTCTTTTCTAACTTCAATCCATTAGTCAATTATTCTGTCGTAACGATTTTAAGTTTTATTTCTTACATCCTTTAATAATGACTTTTGAATTTTTAAAAACATAAATTAAATTTTAGTGTATTTTTGTATCTTTATATTTACATTTTTTTTTCTTTTTGAAAAAGATGAACATCACTTTACCAAGTGTGATTAATCAGCTTAAGTATAACTTTTTCTGTGATCCTCGTGAGTGCTATGTACAATGATATCCTAAGCTAAACAATTATGAATTTTTAATACAGATCATCTGTAAATGTCAAATGCAATTTATTTGCAGAATACCGATTTAGACAAAGAAATAAGAAATTTAAATTCCCGCGCGATTGCAAGGAATAATTGTCATTCTCTCTAATCGCGATTTTTAATATCTTAAGATGAATGCTTTGAATTTTTTATTTTTTAAATACTAATTATTATTCGAATGTTGATATTCTAATTTCTTAGATTTGCACATATTTATTTTTCTTATATTTGGCTTCCAGGATTATGGGATGTTTTTTTGCACGATTTATTTCTTAAATTCTTAGCTCGATCAATACTTAATATATTATATTTATAAATGTATCGTGGATGTTGCGATTCTGGATTTTTAATTTTGAGATGGCTAATTGTTTCTTAAACGTTAACATTGTTATTCTGATCAGTGCAATTATTAATAATGATTACATCCTTGATCGATTCCTGTTAGATATTTATATTAACTCTTTCAATATTTCATTAAATATAAGATCATAGAATGTTCTCGATAATTTTGATTTGTTTGGTTTTTGAATATTTTTTATTTTATTTTTAAATATAAATATATACAGTATACAATTAAAGAGAGTGACAAATTTACCGAAAGTAGACGTGTGATATGTGACACATAGATGCTGAAAGAATGAATCAATAAGCACATCCACAATCGCCAAAGAGTACGTTAGTAATTATCAGAATTGTAAAAAAATAAATAATGAAGAATAAGAAGTGATTTTACAAAACCATTTATTTCGATTTAAATAATAAATGATTAGCGTAATAGGATTAATATAATGATGTATAACTAAATACATATACGCAATGACATGGACTATAATACAATGATCGTTAGGGTTCTATTGTACACTTGTTCCTTATTGTTTTATCATATCGCCACCGTTGCTAAAAGCACCGTGATATCGTCTGGCTTACCACCTAAAAGATTCGAAATCTATTTTTGCATGCTCTTTCGTAAAATATTCTTAAACTTAATATCTATTATTAAAACAAATTCAGTACAACCAATAAAAGAAAAATTTCAACAACTTTTAATTTTTTTTATAAGAAAGATTACGGCGTATTACATTTTTAAGTATTATATTTTTACACGAAACAATTTCTTTTTCTTTTATATTTATAAAAATGCTACTGCTTAAAACATGGTGTAAATAATAGTTTCTTTTTTTTACATACCTATTGCATCGATCCCATTTTCCCGAGCATTTTGAGCAAACGGAGACATAAAAGCGCCGTCAAAGGCCAAACGACGCGCCATCCACGCTATCGTGTTAGCGACGCATTGTATTTTCGTTGGATCTCTCTCGCCTTCGACCTTACGCATCTCGGTGACTAGCAACTGGTCAGGCACATTGTCAAATACCCCGTCGGTTGCCAGAAGGATTACATCGCCATCTTCGACTCCGAAACTCGAAGTGTCGGCGGATTCTGGACTGCAAAGGAAAGAAATGTAATTATAATTATTTTTCAAGATTAATTTTCATAGCATTATATAATATAAATGTAATATTTGCAAATAGAATATATAAAATACATAATAAAAAATAATCTACCTGTCGCGAAGTACTAGATCAGAGTGTCCTGGAGGTGGCAGCGATAATTGGAAAGGAGTATTAAAATAATGTTGTTGCTCTAAGGACCGATGTACTACCTCTCCCCTTCGTACGACTACAAATCCGCTATCTCCTATATTAGCTGCATAAATGCTGCTTGTCTCTTTGTTGAGGACTATTACGCACGCGGTGCTGCTGCCTATATACCAAAGAAATTATCAATATCAGAAACAATTTTTGAACATTTTTAATTTTTTTCGCTATGATAAAATATGACCGAAAAATGACTGAGTATATCATCGCTTTGGATGCAGATGGCACTTAACAGTGCAAATCAAGCTTATATTGATTTCATTATTATAATAACAAAAATGAAATATCTGTTCATTGTCATAATTTTATTTAGATGACTATGAATTTAATATAGAATGATTATTTCAGACCAAACGATTAAAGTTCAGATTAAACTCTCTCCTAGTAAAAGATTATAATTGCCCTCCATACTCAAAAATCTTTATGGCAGGCAATTATATGATATGTTTTTCATAGCAAAGCATAGCAAGATTAAATAATTCTGACTATTACATCTAATTTTCTTACATATAATTGAAGATTATCTATTTACCTAATATTGGTTGTTTATTTTCTAATAATTCATAGTAACTACGTGCTAATAAGCCGGCTGGTTCTGTAGGTGTGAATCTGCCCATGGAGACTAGCCTCTCGCATGTCCTCATGAGGAAATTAGAAAACTCTCCTGGATCGATTCCGTAATGTCGCCATCCTCCTACACCATCAGCCACACCTGAAATATTTATGAAAATAAATAAATAATGTAATTGTTAATTAATTTATATTTTTACATAAAAAAATATATATTTTATATGAAGTATAAGTATTTAATAATAAATTTTATAAATGTAATTACATGAAATAAAATAATTAAGTTTAAACTCAGGATTCATATAACAAAACTTATACATAGCATT